ACGGATCAATTGTCTACATCTATAAAAATGGCTCCTAAGAATTTAGTGTATAATGGACTAACGGAGAAGTGCATCATTTACACTCAAAAGAGGGCAAATGCTCTACTGTCCCTCCTTTGCCTTGTGATGGTCAACGCCTACTGAAGCCATGGAAATACCTCAAAAGCTGGAGGCTTCAGAATGGCTCTACAAAAAAATCTATGAAACAAGCCCCCCCAGGTGAGATGCCCCTTGCCTGGGTTATGACTGACACTGTGATAAAAGAGGCATCACCAGAATGGGCATCTTATTTGACTTTGCCCTTGTGACCTCAGGAGAATGGAAAAAAATGGCAGTCTTGAGGCACATTATTCTGTAGCTTTCCTTTCTTCTAATGTCTTTGTCTGGCTTTGGCTCATGGAATGAGCTGAGACCGTCCCCTCCTTTCATTCTTTTTTTTTTTTTTTTAATTTTTTGAAAACGTTTATTTATTAATGAGAGACAGAGAGAGACAGAGCGTGAGCAGGGGAAGGGCAGAGGGAGAAGGAGACAGAATCTGAAGCAGGCTCCAGGCTCTAAGGTGTTAGCACAGAGCCCAACGCGGGGCTCGAACTCACGCACGGTGAGATCATGACCTGAGCCGAAGTCGGACGCTCAACCGACTGAGCCACCCAGGCGCCCCCCGCCTCCTTTCTTTTGTGAAGAAGTTTATAATGGATTGTTATTATTTTTCTTTAAGTATCTGATATATTCCAGTGAAGCTATTTGGGTCTGAGCTTTTCTTGGTGGCAAAGTGTTTGAATATTATTTCAATTTCTTCACTTGTTATAGATACATTCATATATTTCTAATTCTTTTTGGATCAGTTTTGGTAATTTATGTCTATCTTACAGTTTCATTTATTTGTGTAAGTTGCTGGCATAAAATTGTTCGGAATTATATATAAGGACTTTATAACGCTTTTAATTTTTGTAGAGTTGGTGATGGGTCCCCTCTTCCATAACTGATTTTGATGTGTGTCTTCTCTCTCCTTTCTGTTTGGTCTGTGTAGCTGAAGTTTGTTAATCAAAGGATTAACTTTGCTTTCCTTAGTCTTTCTTCATTATTTTTCTGTGCTCTAGCCTTAATTATTTCCTTATTTCTCCTTACTTTGGATTTAGTTTTCTCTCTCTTTTTCCTGTTTCATGGGAGGGGGCTTAAGGTTATGGATTTGGGACATTTTTGCTTCTGATATAAGCACTGAAAGCTATAAATTTTCCTCTAGGTCCAGGATTAGCTGTCGCCCATATATTTGATGTTTTCTTTTTTATTCAATTTAAAATATTTTCCAATTTCTTTTTTTTTTTAATTTCTTTGACCCATAGTCAATTGAGAAATGAGTGATTTAAATTTACAGCTATATGGGGATTCCACCAAGTCTCTCTGCTATTGATTTCTTGTTTAATTCTGTTTTTTTCAGAGAACTTTATATTATTTCAATCTTATAAAATTTATTGTCTTAAGTTCTAGCATATGATCTATATTTGTTTTCTATTGTTGTATAACAAATGCATTACTACAAATAATATATATTACATTATGTTAAGATTTTTAAAAATATTTATTTATTTTTGGGAGAGAGACAGAGCATGAGCAGGGGAGGGGCAGAGAGAGAGGGAGACACAGAATCTGAAGCAGGCTCCAGGCTCTGAGCTGTCAGCACAGAGCCTGACGTGGGGCTCGAACTCACGGACCGTGAGATCACGACCTGAGCCAAAGTCGGACGCTCAACCGACTGAGCCACCCAGGCGCCCCAGAGAGTTTGAATTTTTATTTTTTTCTTCTTATTTTTTTTTATTTATTTTTATTTAAAAAAAATTTTTTTTTTAACATTTATTTATTTTTTAGACAGAGAGAGACAGACGCTTAACCAACTGAGCCACCCAGGTGCCCCTATATTAAGATTTATCTTATATATATATGTGCATCAAGTTAAGTTGGTTAATAGTGTTCAAGTCTTTTATTTCCTTCTTGATTTTCTGTCTAGCTTTTGTATCAATGATTGAGAATAAAATATTGAAACCCAATTGCAGTTGCTGAATTCTTTCAATTCTGTCAGTTTTGGCTTCCTATATTTGGGGGTCTCCGCTGTTAATTACACCTTCATTTACCCTTGTTTCTTCCTGCTCTGTTGACCCTTTTATCATGATAAAATATCCCTCTTTCTCTCTAATAATGTCTCATATTAAAGCCTATTTTATTTCATAATAATATAGGTATTCTAGCTTCTTATAGTAATGGTTCGTGTCTTTTTGAAGATACAAATAATAAATTATTTCCAAAAGATGCATTGTCCCCTCTCACTGATGACATATGCAAAGTTTGCAGGTGTGATTTTATACTGTCATATTAGCTGCCCGCAGGGAAATTCTCCATGGACACTGAATTATTACCCTGGCTTGCCTTTTCTATTTATTTGGGGGGCTCGGGGAGGGGGGGGGAGGGAAAGCATTTCTCTTTCTCACCACTGGATGTCAGTAGAGTCACCTGTGCAGAAGCTCTGAAAAATGCCTTTAATTCTAAAATCTTCCTTGGCAGCAAAGGGAAGAGAAAATAAATTGCTGCAGTCTGAGATTCTCTGTTTAGAGCCCTGTACAGACACTCTTGGAAGAATGAAAGATTTTAGGAGATTAATCAGTTTCAAAATCCAGAGGCAGACAGAGATTCAAATTGTTTAGAGAATCAAGTTGGCGTAAGGGAAAAAGTTGGTGGGGGGTGGGGTGGCGGCGGTGGAAGAAAATTGAAAATAAAACTCAACGGAGCATTTTCTATGTGAAACACACGTGTTTTCAATACATCTTCAGATCTCAAGGTAGACGCCAATCTCATTTCACTCAGGCTGGAGGGGCGTGGCCGCTTAAAAGACACATGCGGTTAACATGCTGGTTATGTTGAACCAATGGTAAGAAGTGACTTTGAGTGTTGCCTAAAGGGCTGGCTGCCTTTTCTGAGAAAGGAGTCAAAGCTAAGAGAAGTCTAGCTTTGGGAAAAGCCCTCAGGGAACCTAAGGATAGGTTGGGGACCCTCCCCAAGCAGAGAAACCCACCTTATGATTGATGAGAGGATTGGAACTTTCCGTCCACCCCCCTGGCCTCTGGAAAGAAGAGAGGGGAGAGAGGGGGTAAAAATTGAGTTTTATCACCAATGGGCAGTGATTTAATCGATCATGGGTATGTAACAAAGCCTCCATAAAACGCCAGAACAGGATTGGGATAGCTTCTTGGTAAAAACAAAGAGATTCGGGAAGAGTGGTCCTCCACAGCGTTTCCCATTCCTTGTCCTCTGTATCTCTTCCCTATGGCTTTTCTAGAGTTATATCCTTTTACAATAAACTGGTAATAGTAAGAGAAACATTTCTCTGAGTTCTGTGAGCCACTCTAGCAAATGAGTTGAACTAAGGAGGGGGCTTGGGAACCTCCACCTGTAGCTAGTGGGCCAGAAGCTCAGGTGACAATCTGGACCTACTACTGGCATCTGAAGTGGGAAGAGGGTGGTAGGGTCACAGTCTAATAGGACTGAGCCCTTAACCTGTAGGGTTAGATGCTATCTCCAGGTAGAATTGAGTTAATTGTTTGGTGCTATTGATAAAATACACATTATAGAAATCAAATAAAATCTTTATTTTTATCCCGAGGTTTAATTGTAGGGGGCTTGTCTACATGTAGTGATGAGTAAAATCCTGTGAGGGAACACTACTGTCTACTATGAAAGAGTCGGAACACCACCGTAAGTCAGTTAACTCCCGTTGGCGATTAAGGGGGACAGGAAAGAGTTGTCTCCTTTACTTCGGCATGATCACTAAATCACACAATCCTCTCTAGGTTTTTGGTAAACGTCTGACTATTTGGCGATCTAGTCGATGGTAACTTACACATCTGTGCTTTTACCTAATGCCAAATCAAGACCCCCCGCTATTGAACACATATATTCAGCAACAAGAAAACAAGCATATACATTTCCAGTACTCATTACCTAAACGCTACATTTCAGGGAACTCAAACTTTGCTTTCTTGAGTTTCTCTGGCTGGTCTTCATACAGTATCATAAAGCCAAATTTCTGATGACTATTCCCCTAAGAAGTTACTAGTTCTTCGTATCCAGGGTCACGAAATGCCTTTGAGGGTGTGCTGGATTTATTCTTGCAACTCTGAGGCAGGAAAAGCACACGCTAAAAGAAACAAAATATGTTAGTTCTTCAGACTTCACTAAGGTTCAGCTTAATATATACATCTCTCGATGTCATTTCCTCCAATCTGTGTGTGTGTGTGTGTGTGTGTGTGTGTGTGTGTGTGTGTATGCATGTGTGTTATACAAGATGAGTGTAGCATGTCATTAAGCTCTTTAAATAAGTGCTGCTCATCAGCTTAGTATTCATTCTGCTTTCTGTAATAAAATTTTGGATAAATCAAGGCTTTTTAATTTGGTTAAATGAAGCTGTGAGTCTATGGTGGTGGGAGGGTGCTGTCCCATGGAATTTGAAACAACAAGTTTTTAAAAGTATCTTTTAGGTGAAAAAAGAATTTGCAGATCACAGGAAGGTGAAGCCAGAGCAAAGGACGTTTGCCAAATGCAGTCATGTGCAAATATCTTTCACTGAGTCAAGACTGTTAAGGAGACTGGGGCTGTCTAGGAAAGACACAAGCCAAGTTCTAGGGACCCAAGCACAGCACGGACTCACACACAATGCCAGGCAGGCCACTTAACTTCCAGGTTTCTGCCTTTACAAGATAGGACACCGAACCGGTCCATTTTTCAGGTTCAACCATTCCATTTGGTTGACCCTCAGCCAGTCAGCTCCCCAGTCGTTATCTGCTTTCCTCATCTGTCTTCCATCCCCATCAAACCAGCTCCGATGTGTATCTCATGACCGACAACTGCCAGCCTGTCAGTCACTCTAGCTGACATCACTCAACACAACCCTGAACCTGAAATACACCTGGCAGGACTCAGGAAGGCCGGCCAGCACACTCACCCCAGGGAAGTCAGAGTGAGCCTGTTTCCACCAAATCACGGCAGAGAGCGCAGCCAGGCAGAACTCCAGCGCCGTGTAAATCAGCATCACAGACAGAGTTCCCTGCAGTGGAGGAAATACAAGATTGGCAGTGCTTGAGTCAACTGAAGCCCTCATCCCTTGTTGGGCGGCGATTGTAGGGATGAAGGCCTCAACCATCACAGAGTGAAGAGCACACTGCTCCTGCCCCGCCTAGCAATTGGCTTAGTTTAATCCCTTTGCTTATTTAGACCCTTGAGAGGGAGGATGAACTGTAATTACATCAGCTACACATAATCCACTTTGTGCACTGTACGTTTCGCTCGGAGACATAGCTGTATCTGATTACATCGTTGACTCAGCTAGTGGTTATAATAACTCCCAGGGCTGGGAAAGGCCAGCTCCCATTCTTGCCTCAGCCTCACCTCTACCGCTTAAGCAGCTGAGTGGGCCCGAAGTCTCTACTTCTCTAGCTTGTTTCCTCATTTATCAAATGTGCACCATGATACTTCCTTCTCAGGGGGATCTGAGAACCAATGAGGTTTTGACCTTATTGGTGCAAGTCCTTTGTAAAAGTCAATATTTACACCCCCTCTGGATGGGCTTTCTTAGCCTTTCTTGATGTCTGTGAGAGTTAGAAAGAACAATCAAGGCAACAAACACAGCATAAACAAAGCCGCCACCCTCACTGAAAAGCAAACCAACTCAAAAAAGATGCTCCACCAAGAGACTAGGTTCTACCATTTCTGTCCTGAGGCAGCCTTCATGCAAACCTGGCGAGATGATAGGACAGGAGAGCAAATGTGACTGCACAAACTTCTCGTCTATTTACACACAGTGGAAGAGGAAACGCAACTCGTGGACGTTAACGAGAAATTGTCCTAGCAAGCAAGCTCACTATAGTCCCTTTATTTATAAAGCAAAATTATCCCTCACCAATTCATACTTTATTCATTATACAAATCCCTCCTAAACTTCTCTCCAGGATGATTCTCACCATGAGCTGGCTCCACCAAGTGTGGGTTTATGTCAATTACTGCCAACCTCATTTGCAGGTACCTTTTCCCCATGATCATATCACGAACCTGGAGGGAAACAAGTTTCTTGGGCCAGCTCCATAAGGAGTGGTGTGCAAGCACGTGCTTGACCAGCTCTGGCCATCCTCCAGCTGTGTCCTTGACATCACCCACTTTTGTGATTGCAGGACAACAGATATTCTGGAGCCCCTTTATTCGTGTCTTTCTCAGGGTTTTCTGACCACAAACATACCCTTCAATGCTCCAACCTAAGACATTATTTCTATTAGCTAAACTTCATTGCTTTCTTTTCCCTAACGGTGGCAATTGTTATCAGTTGCCATTCTCCATCCTCCTATATATATTTCTCAATTTAATAAATTCCACCTCTGTAAGTTATAACAAACAGCAATGATGCTGCTTTCTCACTCGATCAATACTGTTCATCACTGCAGTCACCGGAAGGAGAAGCCCTCACCTCCAGGGTCACAGTTCCTACCCTCTACTTCTCAGTGCTGGGCCTGATGTCTGCTCAGGCCAAGTTAACACCCTAGTACACATACTTTCCGTGCTTCCTGATCACTTACATCTTCCTGCTGTCTTTGCCTTTCTGAATTTACCTTTCCTCGTGCCAAGATTTTTGGTTTGGCAAACTCCTATTTTATGATTCTAACAACAGAACTACTTTGATTATTAAGAAACTCTATCAAGGTAAGTTTTAGCTTTTCCTTATCACCTTTATTTGTCATTGCCTGTTCTACTCCATTTCACTTCCCCAGAGCCTACCCTGTCATCTCAGTCGGGCAGTGCCCCCCTCTTTGGGAAGACAGAGCCTTGGCCTTCCCCCAGATGCCCAAACCAGAAAGAGTTAGACAGATTTTCAAAAGAAGGGGTAACGGCAAGTCAAGGCTTTCAGAAACCTCATATGACTGGAACAGCCCATCTAAAAATACTTACAGTCAGAGTGGTTTTGGCCGTGATGCATTGTTTGTCCATATATGGGTTAATAAAATAGCTAAATGTAGTCCATTCAGGTTTTCTTTGCTCTTTGTTGAAGGTACACTTCCGAAAGGCAGGATCCACAGCATCCAACGTGACAGAGAGGAGAATGAAACCCACCAGAGCACATAGAGAGCTCAGAATGTTTGCAACCACGCTGCTCTGAACCTGACAGACAAATGCTGAGTAAGAATCACTTCCGATGAGCAACCAACATTCTATCATCCCTCTCTGCCAATGCATTGCAGAACCTTACTTTCTAATCTGTGTCCTTCAGGAAGTCTAGCATGGGTAGACTTAAACCTGTATGTCTCCCCAGCACTTAGCAACATCTCTGAACCTAGAAGGTACATCTTGGCTAGGTTAATGAATAAATGAAATGTTTCTCCCCATGTAGGACTTCAGTAGGTGACAGAGAATATTCCTCTCCTGAATTCTTTACCCAAGACTGATGGCTGGGCTTCCTGAGGCCGTGTCTACAGAATCCCCTCAAAGGTATGACCAAAGGCAGATGTGATTTCTTTCTCCCCCAACTCATCCAGAAACTCCTGGTGGAAGCATCAGCCACACAGAGGAGCCAGATGAAGCAAGGCACCCCTCCTTGCACCCCACTTTCTTCAACACCCCGCCACCCAGATAGGAATATGGGGACATAGTGTAGTCAGGCTTAGGTGAGCCCTGGAGTGGACAGACCCAGGGCTCTGTATGAAGGAGTATATAGAAAGAGTTCCAGTCTTAGGCCCGAGGATGGTGTAGCATATGAGTGGCAGGGTGAGGCAGAAGGTCAGACTGGATGTTAGGAAGCTGACGTCACGGTAGTAGCTTTGCCTGTGACCCTCTCAGTTTTCCTGAGTGCTCCGTTCCCCAGTTCCATTTTCCACTCTGGGTCTCGTTTCCACATGTACGAAGTGAGTGAGGGCAACAAATACACTGAGCTCAGAGATGTGGTCTCTTCTACCCCAACTCACAGGAAAGGGGACTCGAGCAAGGGTGATCCTGACACCTATATTTATAGGTGAGCGTGGTCCAGGGAACTCCAAGTAGCCACAAATTAGAATATCACATAATCCTGTCTAGGTTCCTCTTCCTTTAGGGGCTCAGCAGTTAGAGATTTGGGGCACAGTAGAGAATAGGCAGGAAATTTTTCTCCTCCTAACCCCCATTCCCTAAAATAATGACTAAGGTGCACGCTCCTGGGCCTCCTGATAACCTGATTTCTAGAGTATAGGTTTCTTAGAATAATTTAGGTTTGTTCTGGGACAGCACTCTCCCTCCACCTCAGAAAGGGCTGGTATAATGTGTGAACACAGTAGAATTCACTACAAGATTCATGACTTGGTGAGCCTGAGTGCACCCAAAGCCCACACCCCCATGGCCTTGAGTTTGCTGCTCTGTTCACTCTGGTGTTGCTCTTCTCTGGGGTAAGGGTCCCATAAGCTTCCCCGATAATCTAGAAACATTAGTCTTTAAAAAAATATTTATTTATTTTGAGAGAGAGGGAGAGTGAGCAAGCATGTGCATGTGTGGGAGGGGCAGAGGGAAATGAGAGAGAAAATCCCAAGCAGGCTCTGCACTGTCGGCACAGAGCCCAGTGCGGGGCTTGATCCCACGAACCATGAGATCATGACCTGAGCCAAGGTCAAGAGTTGGATGCTTAACCGACTGAGCCCCCCGGGCGCCCCTAGAAACATTATCCAATACGGTTGTCACTAGCCACATGGGCTACTTATATTTAAAGTAAACTGAAATAAAATTTGAAGTTCAGTTTGTCTATTTCACTGGCCACATTTCCGGTTCTCAGTTGCAACATGTGACTGGCAATGTGATTGCTTCATCTCTGCTATTCCAGTAAGTTCTATAGGACAGCACTGATCTAGCAGCTTGGGGGCTAGGTAAGGGTTCCGAGTAATCAACCTCTAAAGTCTGATGAGAGAGAGAGAGTGAGAGAGAGAGAGAGAGAGAGAAAGAGAGAGAGAGGGGGGGATTGGCATTGTCCTGAGCACTCACTCTAATTTCCTGATGCCTTCAGGAGATTTTTTTTTTTAAGCAGAGCTTCCAAATGGAGTTTCTCTGCTACTTTGTTCTATGGCATTCTCACATGTGACCCCCAACATCAAACTACTTGAGGGACCTAGGATTGAGTGAAGATTTAGTGAAACTTTACAGATTAGAAACCTCCCTACAATCCATCTTTCCTCTCCCTGCCACTCCCAATCCTGGCTTTCCTGGAAGAGTTAAACGCAGGAAAATTTGTTTTTTTTTTTTTATCCAATACCAATAATTACACCTTTTAGGACTCGAGAGTTTATACTCAGATCCTCCAAAAGTATTGAGTTTTAGATCAGATAGATAAAAGAATGAGAGAGAATTCCCCACATAACAATTTTGACTGGCTTTTCTCAAGGGTTTGGACAGAATCCACAACACATACACCTCTTTGTAACACTGTCACCGTCTTCGTCCCTGAAGACTTAAATTTAAAGTCCAGTCACCATCAAAAGTGCATTATAAGGAGGCAGACTTTTTCTAGAATAGATTCCTGGGCACTGATCTAGAGTATAAGACAGTACCCTGAATGAAGTCTGTGATTGAGGGTGCACTGGACAGGAATATGGATAATCCAGACTCAGTTCCTGACTCTGATAAATATCTGCTCTGAACCTGCAAGGTGGAGACATTGACCCTGGAGAGTTCTCCCTAAATTTCATTTCGATCCATGAGTAGTGGGTCAGAGTTCTTATACTCACCAAAGGCTTAGTTGACTTTTTCTCCATGATGACTGACAGAGTTCCAGAAATGACAAACTACTCAGAAAGGAGAGACAACGGTGAGGTCAGTTTCTACGTATACACGAAGCCGCAGTGTTAGCCACAAGGCGATGAGATGAAAAGTAAGGTGATCTTCAGAAGAAATGATTATTTGAGCCAACCAAGACATAGATGTAGAATCAGGTGACTCCTGCTATCCCACCCGACTCAACTCTTCCCTGGGCTATACACACAGGGAAACATGTTCTACCATTGACCCCTTGCTCCCGGCAGACAGTGAGCTGACAGGTGCACAGCCTGCCCTCCTGGCATCTTCTTCCCACTTCCACCCCGCTTGTCCTCCTAAGGATCTCTACTCACACACAAGCCTCCCATGAATGGGTAAGCAGACTTCAAAAGGGTGGAAAACACCGGGGTAAAGGATGGAGAGGACGGAACAGATACCAAAATGATCCCCAAACTCAACACCATCACCCCGCACAGGATCTGAATAGCCTGTTGGAAGAAGAAGAAGGGAGACAGAGGATTAAAGTCAGCATTTGGAGAGGCAAAGCCTCTCTATCTCTCCCAGGGTCCTCGCACATCATCACCGTCTACAGGATCCCAGCAAGGATACAGACACTGTAAAAGGTCTGGGGTGGGGGCTCCACAAAGATGTTGGAGGAGATGCTGCTGTGTCACAGAAAACTATAGTCTCGGGCCATCTGGCAGGTGCTCAGCAAGCCTTCGAGCATCTCTGCCTCTCTGGCTCATGGCCCTTGCTCCCGGCTCAGTGTTGGACTGTTTTCCCTGGCTCTCTCATTCTGTTACTACCAACTCTCCTGTCTCTTATGGAAACAGGGGCGATCTGAGAGCCCTCACACCGCCTTGGCACTGGTGATGTGGAAGTCCCTCCCTTCATCTCCCACACCCTGCTGGACACAACAGAGAACCTGACCCTCCGGTCGGCTCCTTGACCCCTCCAGTCCACGTCCCTACAGCTGTGGATCTTGGCTTCCAAGTAGCCAAGGTTGCCTCCTTGACACCCGCCGCAGATATTTCCAGCCCTGTGAATATTTGCCAAGCAGTTTTCCAAACATTATGTCCCACAAACCTCATAGTACCCCACAGGATCATGTATTTGAGGCAAGGCAATGGGTCCCCCCAGGTTCTGCAGCCTTAGATCATATAACTGCAGAGATAATTCCAGTCCTACATATATCCCTCCCAGCTCTCCTCCCTTCAGTCCACAGAGCTCTGGCAAATCATGCATGAGAGGAGAGAAGCTAACAAAAGACACATATCATCCCTGTTCTCAGAAGGGAAGGATAAAAGAGGGGAGAGAAGTTTATTTTTCTCATGATTTGTGGTGAGGGAAAAATTCCCTTCAAAAACATCAGTCAGGTTGCCTAAGCATGCAATTGGTGAACACATAGAAAAAAACATACATAAAATATGGAATTATTTATCACCATTACTCTGGTAAAACATGTAGACATATGGCTTTTCGTACCCTGATTACACTTCAAGAGAGTGATTTTGGGGGCTCCCGGGTGACTCAGTCAGTTGAGCGTCTGACTTCGGCTCAGGCCACAATCTTGTGGTTCATGAGTTCGAGCCCTGCATCAGGCTCAGTGCTGACAGCTCAGGGCCTGGAGCCTGCTTCAGATTTTGTGTCTCGCTCTCTCTCTGCCCCTACCCTGCCCATACTCTCTCTCTCTCTCTCTACTAGAAATAAATGAAACATTAAAAACAATAAAAAAAGAAAGTGATTTTTTATAAAAAGAGGAGTGTGCTATTGCAAAACTATGGAAACATCAACAAAGACTCAATTGCTAGTAATCAGAAGAGGGGAAAAACATTTTTAATATCATCTTACGTCTGGGGAAGGTTTGGATGGCTCTACAAGTGGCTTCCATTGGACTACTCACGAACCCAGAGTCCCTCTGGCAAAACTTAAGAGCCACCATGGCGTAGTCTAAAGACTACGGTTTCTTTCCTGTACCCCGCCCCCCTCCCCATCCCATTCCAGCACGTTCTGAATTGGGCTTACCCCAAGAACTTTGGCCTCTGCCTTTAGTTGTTTCTTGAGGTTGTATTGCCTCTGGTTGGTGGGTTTAGGTTCCCCTGTTTGGGGGAAGCTGATGCCATTTGGTGTCAGAACTGCAATGGCCTCATTGGTCATGGACCGTGATAGCATGATTGTGCCACGAACCCTGGAAGAGAAAATAAACACATCCAGTTCTTAAAAAGTATAGAGCTCTCAGGCCTCCCAAAATTGGAAGCCAGTATTTGCCCATTAGTCTGGACTTGACCTATTCTTTTAGGGAAGGAAATTTATACAGCATGCAGCGGTGAAAACCACAAATACTTGGCATCATGAATATTTGTTTCCCAACGGCGTTTGGCACACCAATCTCGAGAGGCAGATGGTCACATAAAACTTGCAATACGTCGAAATCTCTCCCCTGGTTCTACTCACAACAAATGAATAGCCAAATATTCCAAGAATTTCACCCTCAAACGTCCCTACCAGTTATGAGATGCAGGAAGGGTTCTATTCATCAGCGTTTTCCTATTCGGGTTCTGTACTTCTCATGCTACCTAACTGTTCATTTTTTAGCCCAATAATAATACTTATTAGGATTAATCCCAAGTATTTTTAAGTTGTATTTTATTAGACATTATCCTCCAGTGCCTTTTTTTTTTAAAAGTAATCTCTATACCCGAAATGGGGCTTGAACTCATGACCCCGAGATCAAGGGTCACATGCTCTATGGACTGAGCCAGCCGGGTGACCCCACCCTATAATGCCTTTTTAATCCTTACAACAACCCTGTAGGTTAGTTGGTTCTTTAGTTACCAAAACCATGCCGTAGTGAGGGAAACTCGGAATCAAAAAGCTTGTTGTGAAGGGAAATAAAACCCACTTTGCACACATGCATGGCAAAGAGTTAATGCCGAAGAGATATTTGCAGTTATGATGATTACTCAGGCATGTTCACATAACTGGAGAGCTGTAGAGCTAGGACTGGACCCCAGCTCCCCCTGAGTATGGAGCCTTTGCACAATTCACTAGATCGTGTGACCCCTTCATCCTTTCCACCTGGCAACAGCAGCCTGTGCCTGTGTTGACTCATTCTGGAGAGGCAGCAGCATGTAGAAATACGGTAACAGGACCAGAGTCATGAAAGCCAGGTTCCAGGCCCGAGCCTTCCACTTGCCAGCCTCAAGTGACCAAACTGCCTGCAGTATTAGCGACGAGCTCAGCCTGCATCTCTGCTCATAGCACCGTTCTCAGCCCCTGGACTGTCCAGTTTGTACAAGGCCCAAGAACAGTTGAAGGGGCAAGAGCTGTGCTCTCATTGATCACGTGACCTCAGGTAAGGGACTCACTGAGATCACACAGTTAGAAAACAGCAGCAAGAGTTAATCCAGAACTCCTACCCTCTGCCTGCTCTATTTCCAAAATAATCTGGTGCCTCTTAACTTCTCTCCAGGAGCTTCCAATCCAATATCCCCTCTAAGGGAGGCACAGCAGGGGAGTCAGAAGTTGAAAACAGTCTCTGGACATTGCCTACCTGTGCCCGTGGACCAGCCTGTTGGTTGCAGCTGAGGTCTCTCAAACTCCCAGGAGACTCTCGGTTCTCACACAGTCCTGTAGAATTTTCTACTGGTCTTCACCTTTTGAAAATCACCAGCCCTTCCTCAGTCCAGAGTTTATAGCCACACAGGATGTGATACTTACAGATTGTGGATTTGTGAAATGTGCTTGCACTTCCTTTTTTCCCCAAACCCCTAGCATCTTCAGCAAAGTCTCCAGTAGAAAACCTAAAGATTGGGAGAACGTGAGATTCCCTGAGCTCTGTGTGTGCATTGCCACCCCAACACTTCCTAGCTCTGTGTTATCAGACAAGTCAGTGTTCTTCTCTGCCTCAGTTTTCAAGTCTCTTAAACAGGGCAACAGTACCAACATTGGAGATTTGTTATGAATCAGTTTAGAGAAAATATTTATAGAAGGCCTTTACTGTTTCCAAGAGGCATTCAATAATAGTAACATTGATCGTGATAGAGATATTGATAAATAATAATACTAAATAACATATAGCTAACTATAGTCATAATAATAGTGATAATGACTATGCTGATTTCAAGAGGCATTCAATAATATATAAGTAATAACAGTAATAATAGAATATAGAAAAAATGTTTTTGTTACTTATGTAAATTTTTCTTTTTCCAGTTCCTTAAGCTCTGGACAGGCTGAACCAGCCTCTCAGCACCCACTGCCTAGATGCTGCCTGCTATAGGGTGGTCTTTCTTTTCTGGTTTCTCTCTCTCTAGCAATGGATCTCTGTGTCCCAGAAAGGTTGGACACTTCTAGGAAGTGGTGAAACCAGATGGGGGCGTAGTTGGGGAAGGACCTGCACAGATTTAACAAACTCAGACTTGGGATGCTTTTGTGAAGCAGAGGGGTCCTACGCACCCTCCAGCATCCAGATGGACGTTCTTTGGAAGCCAACTTTGATATATCAGGGTGCTGGCTCAGGATGCCAGCACTGGAGCCAGTCATAGAGGCTGAACAGCCCCATTCCACAAGCTTCCTCTTTCCCTTGGGGGAGAGCCAGAAGGAACCATGGGAACACAGTTGCAACCCATCACTGTCACCTCAAGGGATTCTGGGTTTTGCACTTAACTCCACACATTAAAGAAAAGAGTTAAGAAACACCATTAAGGTTAGCTTAGTTCCCAGGACTAGATGGCACAGATTACTAATGCAATTCTCTTGTGTTAAACTCGAGAGATGAGTCTGAGAGAAGGAACAGACTCTTGCTAATAACCAATTAATTCTATCAACCAAGCAAAGACTCCCTCTACAGTCTGTCTTCCTCTCTATACAATTATAGCTTCAAATAATCGCAGACGAGTTACAGGATTGCATGAAACAACACTTGCAAGGTGCTTAGTACCGGACCATACAGAGTGGTAGTCCAAAAGGGCTTTATCTCCTGTCTTCCCTCCAATATCCACACCATTCAAACACCCAATTCCAATCTCCCTCCCTGCCTCCCTCTACCCACTGCATTCTCCTCCTCATTTTTCTTTTGGGCTTCAGTAATATCTGAACAAGAGACTCGTCTCTCTGTTTTCTCGACTTAGACCCATCCCACCTTGACCATCTCTCGTTTCCAGAGTCTGGACTCCACCAATCCAACTTGGAGGGAAAGGACTGACAGAGCAGTAACACCTGTGATTAATAATTTAGGACATCTCTTCTCCGGAGAAGCACTAATGTCATTTTGGGTTGGATAATTCTTTTTTGCAGGGCAGGGGAGTCCTGCACTCTCTAGATGCCAGTAACACTGCCTACCCCAGATGTGATAACTAGAAATGTCACCAGATATTGCCAAACGTCCCCCAGTGGAGAGGAGACAAAAATCTCCTCATTGAGAAAGCATTGATCTAGAAGCAAAAAGGTTTTTTTCTGTGACTTCTGTGCAAAGGCAAGTATGCAAGAGATGAATCATTGTTGCTATTTAACCCATTGATTTAATTTTTAAAATTTTTATTATTTTTATTTATTTATTTTCAAAATTGCATTAGATTATTTATTTTATTGTATGGTATTTATTTGAGTGGAGGGCAGAGTGAGAGAGAGAGAATCTTAAGCAGGCTCCACACCCAGTGCAGGGCCCAATGCAGGGCTCGATCCCCGACCCTGGGACCATGACCTGAGCCAAAATCAAGAGGACACTCAACCAACTGAGCCACCCAGGCACTCCATTTAGTTTTTATATTTTATCTATATTTATATTTATAATTATATTTATATTTATATAACCACATAAAATTTACAGTTCACTAGTGTTAAGTACATTCACATTGTCATGCAACAGATGTCTAGAACGTTTTTCTGTAAAACGGAAGCTCTATACCTATTGAATGACAACTTCCCATTTCCTCCACCCTCAGCCCCTGGCAACTATCATTCAGCTTTCTGTTTCTATGAATTTGATTACTTTAGAGTCCTCACAGCCATAGAATCGTACAACATTTGTCCTCTTTTGACCGGCATATTTCACGTAGCATGATGTCCTCAAGCTTCATCCACATTGTAGCATGCGATAGAATCTCCTTCTTGTTTAATGCTGCATAATATTCCACTGTATACATGTGCCACTTCTGGTTTATCCATTCACCTGCCAGTGGGTATTTGGGTTGTTTCCACCTCTTTGCTATTGGGAATAATGATGCAATAAATAATGAGTGTGGAATCTTTTTGAGATAAAGTAACCCATAGACCTTCTTTTCTTTAGGGTCAGTTTGTAAAGATTTACTTTGGTTTGGTTGGGCCATGCTTTCCTGTTCCTCTCTTTGCTTTGTGATCTTTTTTGAGATTTGGACATTAAAAAAAAAAAAGCCACCTCCTCCAGTCTTTCAAACTGGCTTCATAACGGGGAAGACCTTTGCCAATCAGCATGGCTAGAGATTCTGGGGACCCCTCCAACCTTTTCTGAGATGCGTCTTCTCTGGGCTTGTACATGTAGACCCCCCAGTTAAAGAGGCTTGCCCACTTCTTCTTTGGAGCCCATACATCTTCTTCCCCTGATGTCTGTCCGAGGTACTACAGTCACTCTGCCGCTATGACAAGCCGCAGTGGTTGCCTTTGTTCTCAGTGACCCTCAACCTTGCAGCCAAACTGCCAGTTTCCATCGGCACTCTGAATCCGGTGAGACAGAAACCAATCCCTCTGGAAGCCCCTTGAAAATCCAGAATACTAGACACATACTCTGCCTCCACTGTTCCTTCCCTCCTGAGGAAAGAGCTGGAGGAGAGTTTTCTCCCCATCATACCACGCTGTGCCAGGGTGGGTAATATATCACATGCTTTTTCACACACTTGGATGCATCTTTCCTTGGCTTTGTGCTTGCCTGAGATGCTGTGACTTAACTGGTTTCCAGAAAGCTCACGAGGCACTTTGGCCCATATACAGTTAATTTGGTGTCTTCATGGAAGAATGGGGGCCTGAGGCTTCCTATTGTACCATCTTGCTGCCACTCAAGTTAATTTCTTGTTATCTTATTCTGCTAAGAGGTGGGAAGTCTCCCTTCTGCCTGTGGCAGAGCTCGCAAAGCAGGCGTGTGTAAGTGACGAAGAGTTGGATTGGCGGGTAATTCTGGTGTTCATCTATCAAAGCAG